CCTGGATGTCATTTGTTGAGCAACTCTTGATATCGTTGTGGAAAGTATTGAAAGTATCAGAAACAGACAGAGTAAGTCGGCATTGGACAGGCACAGTGTTGTTTACCTGTGTGTTGATTCTGTATTTGTGTGGGGAAGGAGTTGATTGTGAGCCTGGATGTCATTTGTTGAGCAACTCTTGATATCGTTGTGGAAAGTATTGAAAGTATCAGAAACAGACAGAGTAAGTCGGCATTGGACAGGCACAGTGTTGTTTACCTGTGTGTTGATTCTGTATTTGTGTGGGGAAGGAGTTTTTTTTTTTTTTTGATTGTGAGCCTGGATGTCATTTGTTGAGCAACTCTTGATATCGTTGTGGAAAGTATTGAAAGTATCAGAAACAGACAGAGTAAGTCGGCATTGGACAGGCACAGTGTTGTTTACCTGTGTGTTGATTCTGTATTTGTGTGGGCAAGGAGTTGATTGTGAGCCTGGATGTCATTTGTTGAGCAACTCTTGATATTGTTGTGGAAAGTATTGAAAGTATCAGAAACAGACAGAGTAAGTCGGCATTGGACAGGCACAGTGTTGTTTACCTGTGTGTTGATTCTGAATTTGTGTGGGGAAGGAGTTGATTGTGAGCCTGGATGTCATTTGTTGAGCAACTCTTGATATCGTTGTGGAAAGTATTGAAAGTATCAGAAACAGACAGAGTAAGTCGGCATTGGACAGGCACAGTGTTGTTTACCTGTGTGTTGATTCTGTATTTGTGTGGGCAAGGAGTTGATTGTGAGCCTGGATGTCATTTGTTGAGCAACTCTTGATATTGTTGTGGAAAGTATTGAAAGTATCAGAAACAGACAGAGTAAGTCGGCATTGGACAGGCACAGTGTTGTTTACCTGTGTGTTGATTCTGAATTTGTGTGGGGAAGGAGTTGATTGTGAGCCTGGATGTCATTTGTTGAGCAACTCTTGATATTGTTGTGGAAAGTATTGAAAGTATCAGAAAGCCAGCTTGGGTAGCACAGCATTGTTGCCTGTGTGTTGATTGAATGCACGCAAATTGTTTAAAAAAAAGTGTGTGGGTTTCTATCAGGCAGACATATCAGAGTGACATTATGCAAAGGACCTGTTACATGATGATGAACTTATGTTCCGCCGCATATATTTTGCATTTACATTTTCAGTCTTACTTTTTGTTGTTGCTTTGCAGCAGACATTCTTTTTTTTAGTATTAACTATTTTCATCTCTTAATAATAAGGGCGGAAAAGATGGTGTTTTATTGGGCACATCCTGAGAAAAAATGGGATTTGAGGTTTCAACAACAGATCAACATCATGGCACATGGGTAGTAACCCATAAGTGCTCCATTCTTCTTCTAACTCAAGCCTGAGTCCGAAGAAGCACAGGCTCTGTAGCACTGGCGAGGATCCTGAAATACTTTGGGTAGATTTTTAATTCATATTTTCCTGGGGCAGCCGGGATTTTTTAAATGTGCGCAACAATACACATGGGCATTCGGTCTTACTACCCAGATACCAGGGGGAATTACTAGAAGTCCAAGTCCGTGTGAAAAAAATCCGTCCTTACCGGGGATTGAACCGGAAACCACTAGCACTGACACTATGCCTCGAGACCACGCAGTCCACGCCCTGAGAAGAAATGAGCAGGCACTGAAATACGAAATAAAGGAATTGATGAAGTGAGGACATGCAAAAGAAACCCTAAAATAAATCTTGACGGGAGAGGCCAAAGGTGCTAGGATAGATTCCATTATTGATATTGAAGGGACATTATGGAATTAAAAGCCACCAAACCCGGCACAAGACGATTACCATTTTATGGACAGACCAGAGCAAGTTATTACTCTACGCCTTGGGACACAGTCGACTTCACAGCCACATGTACACAAAATGGTGAATCAGCCAGGTGCACATGTGGATTAGCACCTGAGACAACAGATCATGTCCTCCAAGACTGTCCTAAATACAACATATCAAGGCCAAACTTTTGGCCAAGAGAAACATTGGTGCAAGTGAAATTCTACAGGTTGCTGAGTGAATTGCACAAGATGTTGAAGTTCATACTATAGACAACATTGCAGATGTAGATAATTTATTTTAAGCGAACGAAAGAAGAAGAAGAATGGAATTGAGGCAAAAACTGTGAGTGCTGCGTGACATATATTGGCACATCAGGACAGTGATGGTGATACTAAGGCATATCTTTTTGATAGGATTTTAACAGGCCTCCTCACTGCTACTTTGTTGCAAAAGAAACATTTTATAGCATCTTTAATATACAAATATACTTACTTAGACGCTCCTCTTCTACCTTGGGTTGTAGAGGTTTGCCAGAAAGATCACCATTTGTCTCTACCAGCATTTTTCTTCCTGGCTTTGTTCCATTCCAGTTCCTCTGTCAGTTAGGGACTGTTGGATGTTTCTTCCCAGTGGACCCTGGGTCGCCCTGGAGGTCTGGTTTCCTGGTTCTTAGCCTGCCATGGTACTGATTTTCTTTCATTCTGCAAACATGTCCAAACCATCGTAACTGTGACTGATCCACTCTTGTTTGTAAGGACTGGGTATCAAGATCTTGACATATTGTCTAATTGCAGACTTTGTCCCTTCTTGTCACTTGGACCACCTTTCTCAGATATCTCATTTCTGAGGCCTGAAGCTGGATTCTGTGAGTTGTCATTGCCCATGACACACCCATAGGTCAGGACTGGCACATAGGTATATTTAAATATGCCCACACAGACAATACATTGTACAGTTTCTTCTTCTTCTTCTGCCTTTCTATCCCCCAATGGAGCATAGGCCCTCAACCAACTCACGCCAAGTCGTTCTATCCTTCGCCATTGCATGGAGCTCTCCCCATGTCCTTCCAATCTTTCTAACCTCGTTCTCCAGCTCTCTTCTCCATGTGTTTTTTGGCCTTCCTTTATTCCTATGCCCCTGTGGGTTCCAATGCAAAGACATTTTAGTTATGCTATTCTCCTGTTTTCTCAGTGTGTGCCCTATCCAACGCCAGCGGCTTTTCCTCACTTCCTGATCCACTGGAGCCTGTTTAGTTCTCTCCCAAAGTTCTACATTAGTTATTCTATCATGCCATTTTATTCCCTCTATTCTGCGCAGGCACCAGTTAATGAATGTCTGTAATTTATTAGTAATTGCCTTGGTTGTTCTTCATGTTTCTTCCCCATACAATAGTACTGATTTGACATTAGAATTAAAAAATTTTAGTTTAGTATTTCTTTTAATTTCTTTTGACCTCCACAGATTCCCTAGTGCTATGAAAGCCCCTCTTGCCTTTTGTATTCTTATTTTAATATCTTTATCAGTTCCTCCATCTTTATCTACATTACTGCCTAAATAGGTGTAAGACTCCACGTCTTGGAGTGGGGTGCCATTAAGAGAAACCATATTACTATTTGCCTGATTTATTCTCATTATCTTTGTCTTTCCTTTATGGATTTTCAGACCAAGCTGCTGTGATCTCGCATTAAGTATATTTAATTTATCTTGCATCTGATTCCGTGAATGGGACAGAAGAGCAATATCATCAGCGAAGTCCAGATCATCAAGCTGTTTTGTAGGGGTCCACTGAATTCCATTCTTGGTGTTAGCAGTTACTGTTTTCATAGTCCAGTCTATAGCCAGTAAAAATAAGAGAGGCGACAAAAGACATCTTATGAAAAACTCGACATTTCATGTCTTTATATGTTGCCTTTACTAAGTTTATAATTTTCTGTGGGATTCCATAGTGCCCCATCAATTTCCAGAGAGATTCCCTATCAATGCTGTCAAATGCTTTTTCATAGTCTATAAATCCAATGTAAAGTGGGTGAGTTCAATTCAATGCTTTGCTCAAATATAATACGTAATGTGGCTATCTGATCAGTACAGGATCTTTTTGACCGAAAACTTGCCTGCTCATCTCTTAACATTTTATCAATAGCATCTTTTAATCTTTCCAAAATAATTCTACTTAATATTTTTCCAGGAACTGACAGCAACATAATTCCTCTATAGTTTTCACACTCCTGTAGATCACCTTTTTTGGGCAGTTTCACAAGATATCCTTCTCTCCAGTCTGCTGGTATTTCTTCGGTCTCCCAGACTTTACTGAATAATCTATGTAGCAATTCTGTTGATGTGTTTATGTTGGCCCTGATGGCTTCAGCTAGGATACCATCTGGGCCTGTCGCCTTTCCTTCCTTGACAAGATTTATAGCTTTTCTAATTTCTTCTTTGGATGCTATCTCACAGTTAATATCCAGTTCCATTTCTAAAGGCTGGATATCTGGGGGAACCTCTGGGCCTGGTCTATTTAGAAGCATTTCAAAATATTCAACCCATCTGTCCATTTGATCTTTAGTGTTAGTAAGTACCTTTCCTTGACTATTTTTGATTGATCTAGTTGGCTGACTATATTTACCTACTAATTTTCTTGTGTAACTGTAAAGTTCTCTGAGGTTTCCTTTTGCTGCTGCTGTCTCTGGTTCTTGTGCTAGATCATTTAGATATTTCACTTTATCTGCCCTAATATGCCTCCTAACTTCCTTGTTAGCTTCTGTGTATTTCTCCTGAGCTCTAGCTTTAGCAGCTCTAGTTTTGCTATTGTTTAATTCTGCCTTTTTACTTTTCCTATCTTCAATCAGTTTAATGGTTTCTGGTGTTATCCATGCTTTATGTTTCCTTTCTTTCTTGCCAAGAACTTCTACGCAAGATTCATTCCAGATTCCTTTGATCTGATCCCAGCAGACTTCTGTGTTGACATCTTCAGCTAACTGCTGCAACACCTGGTACTTTTTAGAGACCGTAACTGAGAACTGTTCCTTAATTTCTTTATCTCTGAGAAAGCCTACATTATATTGGTTTCTATGATTATAAGATGTTATATATTTTGTTAGTTTCAACTTGATTTTACTTACCACCAGGAAATGGTCAGTAAATACATCGGCACATCTGAAAGCCCTAACATCGTAAAGGGATGATCTAAACTTTTTGTTAATACATATGTGGTCAATTTGATTAGTTTTCTTATGGTCTGGTGATTCCCATGTTGCCTTGTGTATACTTTTATGGGGAAAAATACTTCCACCAATAACATACTGGTTACCTGCACAAAAATTTGTGAACAATTCTCCATTTTCATTCATTACTCCTAGACCATGTCTCCTCATAATTTCTTCATAACCTGTGTTGTCTGATCCTATCTTAGCATTCAAGTCACCCATCAAAATTTTTAAGTTGCCCTTTCTTTCATTATGTATAATATTTTGAAGCTGTATGTAAAATTCTTCCTTAACAGATGCATCTTTATCATTTGTTGGTGCATAACACTGTATAACCGACATGTTCACCTTCTGTTTTACTGTTCTAAAAGATGCTCTTATTATTCTGGGACTCACATCTTCCCATTCTATTAGTGCCCTGTCTGCTTCTTTTGATAGCATCAGGGCCACTCTTTCACTGTGCGGCGAATTTTCCTCTGTGTGTCCTGAGAACAAAATAGTTTTTCTTGAATTTAGAATACTTTTCCCTACCCCAGTCCATCTAGTTTCACATAACCCTAAAATACTAATTCTATAATGTTTCATTTCCTTTGCTACTTCCATTGTTCTCCCTATATCATAGAGTGTTCTAACATTCCAGGTGCCAATTCTGGAGGTTTTCCTAGCTGAGAAGAGGTACGTCAACGATCCGGACTTCTTATGGCTTTCTCCACACCGTGACATACTTCTTCTATTTGAAGAGCCTCTGCTCATCTTGGTTGGCTGGATTTTATTTGCTTCTCTTTTTGACTTATCCATGGTTGGTTGGTTTTTGTGGCTATGGTTTTTACAGGATGAGGTAGCCAACCTCAAGCCCAACCCTACCCTTAGTCGCCTCTTACGACGTGCCTGGTAGAGTGCAGTGTCACTATTCTTTGCTTCCCGTGAGGGCCCCGGTGACACACGGGCGATTGTACAGTTTATTGCGTAGCAAATCTCACTGTATCTTGTCAGGTGCATTACTACAGAGTTAAATGAACATATAATAAAGCAAAAATCTATTCGCTCGGAAAATCAGAATCAGTCATGTGATTACCATGGTAACTTTAAATTGATCACTTGATCTTTCTGTTTACATAAAATAGGAGAGTTTTTATTTATATTTATATGGTGTTTCTAATATTTATTCAACTTCCCTAATGTTACCTATATATTCTTTCTCAGAAATTCAAAAGCTGGTCTTAGCAGGGCGGATGGGTGAGGCCATAGAGACTACACAGCTCCTATATCCTACTTTATTAGATGCAAAACCTGATCTCCTGTTTATGCTCAAGTGCCGACAGTTTGTGGAAATGGTGAACGGTACAGACAGTGAAGTCCAGGGCGGTGTTTCCAATTATACCTTTGTTGGTGGTGTCTCTGGTGGTTACCCGTTGTCCGGAGGCGGAGGCAGCCACACTCGCAGTCCTAAATCCTATCGCAGCAGTGACGGAAGCAACCGCTCCAGCCCCGCTCACAGCCCACACCCCTATGTCCACGCAGGGACCCCGCCTCAGCAGCACCCGCAACAGAACTATTATCACATCGGCCAACAGCAACAGACTTTTCACCACCAGCAGACGCACCACCACCACCATACGGTCGACGGTCCTTTGTGCAACAGCCCCAACCGGTTGTCGGGGAAGGGCCAGGGACAGCAGAGTCTTGCCTCACTGTCACTGGTTTACCAGCAGCATCACAACAACAGCTATAATAACGCCAGCGAGGTCAGTGATGGCCTGCAGAATAATAACCCCATGAACTATGGTCACATTGAGGATGAAGAGGCCTTGATGAATTCAACCAATGCTGTTCTCACACGAGATCATATAACTATGAATGGAGGGCCAGTTGGCCCGAGGTTGATCGACGGCGATGAGATGGACATGTGTGTTGAGATCGACCACTCCAGCACTCTTTCAAATGGGAATTCTCAGTATAACGGGACGTCAGCACACAGTGAACAGATGGGTAGGTCATCATTTTTGTTGTTATTCGTCTTTGTTGGTATGCTTGCTCGTCGAGATGGTTGTTACGGTTCAATCCCCTTCTCCTCTTGTAAGAGGTGACTGATTAGGGGTGTTTTCTTCGACGTTATAGAGCATCTGCCCGAGAGGCGAGGGACCCAACAGTCTGCATACAAATAGGTCAGATCTGTCAAAAAGGATTGAAAATATAGAACATTTCACATATCTTGGTAGTGATGTGTCCCAGTTTGGAGGGACAGGGGAAGACATACAGTCACGACTGAACAAAGCTAGAGCTGTTTTTAGAAGGATAAGGCAAATTTGGGAAATCCAACAGTTACTGCAGAGAAACGAAACTTCCGACTCTACAAGAGCATTATTTTACCAGTTCTTTTTTATGGAGCAGAATGCTGGAGAATGATCAAAAAGGATGCACACAAGCTATCCACCTTCCACCACACATGTCTACGTAGAATTATCAACATTTTCTGGCACCAGAGGGAAAGAGAAAGAAGTGGAGCCCAAAAACAACATAGAGACGAACGATGGAGAGTGACCTGAATGCGGCATCTCTGACGTGGAAAACTGCACTGAAGATGGCACAAGACAGGACAGCATGGAAAGTCCTCTCTGAAGCCTCATGTGCCACTAGGCATAACGAGAACTGATGATGTCAAAAAGGATGTGCACACAAATCTGAAAAGTTCTTCTTTTTCTTTGCCTTCATTTTTGTATTCTCAGGTCAGACTGTCAGGTGGGCTGCCTCTATGAACTTGCATGCCAGCTGCAGGTCCTTCATGGTTCTTCCCCAGTGGCTCAGCATACTTTGCTCTTGATTCCAGGTTTCTTTTCATATTTGTGGGCATGGTGGGCTCAGGTGTTTGTATTCCCACCTGGCATGCCCATTGTACAATCTTTTTTGATGCATGTGGTTGTTGAGCCTGCAGTTGAGTTGATTCAAGGACCAACATAACAGCACTCAGGGCATTCCCATGAGAGTTCCGATACTAATGGTGCCAGTAGCATTCTGACTCTTGCCTTTCCTCTGAGCCTTGAGCATCTGCCAGAACCTCTCGTCACTCCCCGCTGCATCAGTCTCACCAGTTCAGCCTGCAGTGTCCTGTTCTTAGATCGAAAATTGTTGTATGTTGTTTTCTATTGAGTCTATTGATAGGGCCTTGTGATTGTTTACTTTTGGTTTGTTCTCTCCACAATTCCTTGTGTTTTCCCTCTCAAGTTCAGGAAGAAGACTTAAAGTCCAGAAGTGAACAAACAATCATAACTTGCCAGCAGAGCTTGGTCGGTGGACATGAAGAAGAAGATTATTATGCTTTACATAACGTTGGGCTGGTTTCTTGCCAGTAGGGTTTAACTATTGTTGCAGTTCAGTTGAGTCTAGAATTGGCATCACAGCACTCGGGTCATTTCTATACATGCTCCATCCTCATCTTCAGCAGCCAGTGCAGAGTTCAGAAACTTATGGTGCCAGTCGTAGTCTAGTTATATGTCCTCCTTACCTTTCCTCTGCACGTAGTAAGTCAGCTAGACCTTCAGGTCACATCCATGTGCATTATTCTCTCCAGGCCGAAATAATATAGTTTCTCTCTTGACTTCATTACTTATTCCTTGATCATACCTGCCTTGTCATGGATCAGTTGCAGATCCAGCCAATCTGTCTGCCTGTTCATACCCCACCATGCCGGCAAGGCCTGAAGAAAAGATATAAAGTATGGTCACTTCCAAGTGCCACTGCTTGAAGCAACCCTGTCTTCACCTTTCTCAGCATGCTTTCAGAGTCTGTTACAATTATATGTGTATGTATCTTGTTCTCTAGTCAAAAAGATGCAGTGACCGCCTCCACCACTATCCTCATGCTAGATGTTGTGGTATCATATGCTAGGCTGTCCTGCACTAAAGATTTTTCATTAGCTTTTCCTACGAACCCTCAGGCACTTTTCTTCCTTCTCAACAGCAGCCTTATAACGGGTAAGGCAGCGTAACTCTCAGCTTCTGGAACCGGATTGCAGTCCAGAAATGGATTAACAATCTGAACTTTCTGCCAGAGTTTACAGCTGGTAAACGTGAAGAAGAAGACATCAAGAAATAGAGGTTTAGCATAAAATAGAGGTCTGGCATGAAATAGAGGTCTAGCGTAAAATAGAGGTGTAGCATAAAATAGAGGTGTGGCACAAAATAGAGGTGAAGCATGAAATAGAGGACTAGCATGAAATAGAGGTCTAGCATGAAATAGAGGTTAGCATGAAATAGAGGTGTAACATAAAATAGAGGTCTAGCGTAAAATAGAGTTGTAACATAAAATAAAGGTGTAGCGTAAAATAGAGGTCTAGCGTAAAATAGAGTTGTAACCTAAAATAGAGGTCTAGCATAAAATAGAGGTCTGGCATAAAATAGAGGTGTAGCCTAAAATCGAGGTGTAGCATAAAATAGAGGTCTAGCCTAAAATAGAGGTCTAGCCTAAAATAGAGGTCTAGCCTAAAATAGAGGTCTAGCCTAAAATTGAGGTGAAGCCTAAAATTGAGGTGTAGCCTAAAATTGAGGTGTAGCCTAAAATTGAGGTGTAGCCTAAAATAGAGGTGTAGCCTAAAATAGAGATGTAACATAAAATAGAGGTGTAACATAAAATAGAGTTGTAACATAAAATAGAGGTCTAGCATAAAATAGAGTTGTACAATGAAATAGAGCTGTAAATAAAATAGAGATCTAGCATAAAATAGAAGTGTAGCATAAAATAGAGTTGTAGCATAAAATAGAGGTGTAGCCTAAAATCAAGGTGTAGCATAAAATGGAGGTGTAGCATGAAATAGAGGTCTACCATGAAATAGAGGTGTAGCCTAAAATCGAAGTGTAGCCTAAAATGGAAGTGTACCATGAAATAGAGGTGTAGCCTTAAATAGAGGTGTAACATAAAATAGAGGTGTAACATAAAATAGAGGTGTAACATAAAATAGAGGTGTAACATAAAATAGAGTTGTAGCATAAAATAGAGGTGTAGCATAAAATAGAGGTCTAGCATAAAATAGAGGTCTGGCATAAAATAGAGGTGTTACATAAAATAGAGGTGTAGCCTAAAATCGAGGTGTAGCATAAAATAGAGGTCTAGCCTAAAATAGAGGTCTAGCCTAAAATAGAGGTGTAGCCTAAAATAGAGGTGTAGCCTAAAATAGAGGTGTAGCCTAAAATAGAGGTGTAGCCTAAAATTGAGGTGTAGCCTAAAATTGAGGTGAAACCTAAAATTGAGGTGAAACCTAAAATAGAGGTGTAGCCTAAAATTGAGGTGTAGCCTAAAATTGAGGTGTAGCCTAAAATAGAGGTGTAACATAAAATAGAGGTGTAACATAAAATAGAGATGTAGCATAAAATAGAGTTGTAACATAAAATAGAGATATAACATAAAATTGAGGTTTAACATAAAATAGAGTTGTAACATAAAATAGAGGTCTAGCATAAAATAGAGTTGTAAAATAAAATAGAGGTGTAGCATAAAATAGAGTTGTAGCATAAAATAGAGTTGTAGCATAAAATAGAGTTGTAACATAAAATATAGGTGTAACATAAAATAGAGGTGTAGCATAAAATAGAGGTGTAGCATAAAATAGAGGTGTAGCCTAAAATCGAGGTGTACCATGAAATAGAGGTGTAGCATAAAATGGAGGTGTAATATAAAATGGAGGTGTAATATAAAATGGAGGTGTACCATGAAATAGAGGTGTACCATGAAATAGAGGTGTAGCCTAAAATCGAAGTGTAGCCTAAAATCGAAGTGTAGCCTAAAATCGAGGTGTACCATGAAATAGAGGTGTAGCCTTAAATAGAGGTGTAGCCTTAAATAGAGGTGTAGCCTAAAATAGAGGTCTAGCATAAAATAGAGGTGTAACATAAAATAGAGGTGTAACATAAAATAGAGTTGTAACATAAAATAGAGGTGTAACATAAAATAGAGTTGTAACATAAAATAGAGGTGTAACATAAAATAGAGTTGTAACCTAAAATAGAGGTGTAACATAAAATAGAGTTGTAACATAAAATAGAGGTGTAACATAAAATAGAGGTGTAACATAAAATAGAGGTGTAACATAAAATAGAGGTGTAACATAAAATAGAGGTGTAACATAAAATAGAGTTGTAACATAAAATAGAGGTGTAGCCTAAAATAGAGGTGTAACATAAAATAGAGGTGTATCGTAAAATAGAGGTCTAGCGTAAAATAGAGTTTTAACCTAAAATAGAGGTGTAACATAAAATAGAGTTGTAACATAAAATAGAGGTGTAACATAAAATAGAGGTGTAACATAAAATAGAGGTGTAACGTAAAATAGAGGTGTAGCCTAAAATAGAGGTGTAGCCTAAAATAGAGGTGTAGCATAAAATAGAGGTGTAGCCTAAAATTGAGGTGTAGCCTAAAATTGAGGTGAAGCCTAAAATTGAGGTGTAGCCTAAAATTGAGGTGTAGCCTAAAATAGAGGTGTAGCCTAAAATAGAGATGTAACATAAAATAGAGGTGTAACATAAAATAGAGTTGTAACATAAAATAGAGGTCTAGCATAAAATAGAGTTGTACAATAAAATAGAGTTGTACAATGAAATAGAGATCTAGCATAAAATAGAGGTGTAGCATAAAATAGAGTTGTAACATAAAATAGAGGTGTAGCATAAAATAGAGGTGTAGCCTAAAATAGAGGTGTAGCCTAAAATCAAGGTGTAGCATAAAATGGAGGTGTAGCATGAAATAGAGGTCTACCATGAAATAGAGGTGTAGCCTAAAATCGAAGTGTAGCCTAAAATGGAAGTGTAGCCTAAAATAGAGGTGTAGCCTAAAATCGAAGTGTAGCCTAAAATAGAGGTGTAGCCTAAAATTGAGGTGTACCATGAAATAGAGGTGTAGCCTTAAATAGAGGTGTAGCCTAAAATAGAGGTGTAACATAAAATAGAGGTGTAACATAAAATAGAGGTGTAACATAAAATAGAGGTGTAACATAAAATAGAGTTGTAACATAAAATAGAGGTGTAGCATAAAATAGAGGTGTAGCATAAAATAGAGGTCTGGCATAAAATAGAGGTGTTACATAAAATAGAGGTGTAGCCTAAAATCGAGGTGTAGCATAAAATAGAGGTCTAGCATAAAATAGAGGTCTAGCCTAAAATAGAGGTCTAGCCTAAAATAGAGGTCTAGCCTAAAATAGAGGTGTAGCCTAAAATAGAGGTGTAGCCTAAAATAGAGGTGTAGCCTAAAATAGAGGTGTAGCCTAAAATTGAGGTGTAGCCTAAAATTGAGGTGAAACCTAAAATAGAGGTGTAGCCTAAAATTGAGGTGTAGCCTAAAATTGAGGTGTAGCCTAAAATTGAGGTGTAGCCTAAAATAGAGATGTAACATAAAATAGAGGTGTAACATAAAATAGAGGTGTAGCATAAAATAGAGTTGTAACATAAAATAGAGGTGTACCATGAAATAGAGGTGTAGCCTAAAATCGAAGTGTAACATAAAATAGAGTTGTAACATAAAATAGAGGTGTAGCATAAAATAGAGGTGTAGCATAAAATAGAGGTCTGGCATAAAATAGAGGTCTGGCATAAAATAGAGGTGTTACATAAAATAGAGGTGTAGCCTAAAATCGAGGTGTAGCATAAAATAGAGGTCTAGCATAAAATAGAGGTCTAGCCTAAAATAGAGGTCTAGCCTAAAATAGAGGTCTAGCCTAAAATAGAGGTGTAGCCTAAAATAGAGGTGTAGCCTAAAATAGAGGTGTAGCCTAAAATAGAGGTGTAGCCTAAAATTGAGGTGTAGCCTAAAATTGTGGTGAAACCTAAAATAGAGGTGTAGCCTAAAATTGAGGTGTAGCCTAAAATTGAGGTGTAGCCTAAAATTGAGGTGTAGCCTAAAATAGAGATGTAACATAAAATAGAGGTGTAACATAAAATAGAGGTGTAGCATAAAATAGAGTTGTAACATAAAATAGAGATGTAACATAAAATTGAGGTGTAACATAAAATAGAGTTGTAACATAAAATAGAGGTCTAGCATAAAATAGAGTTGTAAAATAAAATAGAGGTGTAGCATAAAATAGAGTTGTAGCATAAAATAGAGTTGTAGCATAAAATAGAGTTGTAACATAAAATATAGGTGTAACATAAAATAGAGGTGTAGCATAAAATAGAGGTGTAGCATAAAATAGAGGTGTAGCATAAAATAGAGGTGTAGCCTAAAATCGAGGTGTACCATGAAATAGAGGTGTAGCATAAAATGGAGGTGTAATATAAAATGGAGGTGTAATATAAAATGGAGGTGTACCATGAAATAGAGGTGTACCATGAAATAGAGGTGTAGCCTAAAATCGAAGTGTAGCCTAAAATCGAAGTGTAGCCTAAAATCGAGGTGTACCATGAAATAGAGGTGTAGCCTTAAATAGAGGTGTAGCCTAAAATAGAGGTCTAGCATAAAATAGAGGTGTAACATAAAATAGAGTTGTAACATAAAATAGAGGTGTAACATAAAATAGAGTTGTAACATAAAATAGAGGTGTAACCTAAAATAGAGGTGTAACATAAAATAGAGTTGTAACATAAAATAGAGGTGTAGCCTAAAATAGAGGTGTAACATAAAATAGAGGTGTAACATAAAATAGAGGTGTAACATAAAATAGAGGTGTAACATAAAATAGAGGTGTAACATAAAATAGAGGTGTAACATAAAATAGAGGTGTAACATAAAATAGAGGTGTATCGTAAAATAGAGGTGTATCGTAAAATAGAGGTCTAGCGTAAAATAGAGTTTTAACATAAAATAGAGGTGTAACATAAAATAGAGGTGTAACATAAAATAGAGTTGTAACATAAAATAGAGGTGTAGCCTAAAATAGAGGTGTATCGTAAAATAGAGGTCTAGCGTAAAATAGAGGTGTAACATAAAATAGAGGTGTAACATAAAATAGAGGTGTAGCATAAAATAGAGGTGTAGCATAAAATAGAGGTGTAGCATAAAATAGAGTTGTAGCATAAAATAGAGGTGTAGCCTAAAATCGAGGTGTACCATGAAATAGAGGTCTAGCCCAAAATAGAGGTGTACCATGAAATAGAGGTATAGCCTAAAATAGAGGTGTAACACAAAATAGAGGTGGGGTGGGGGGGAGCAAGATGGATATACAATCAGACAGTTACTAATTCCATCAGAATTGGAACTCTTCTTCGCTTGCGGCTGAAGATGGGGACGGAGCGCTTATGGGGGTATCTCGAGTGCTGTGATGTCGATTCTTCATTCAGCATTCACTTTAAAAAAAGGGGAACCTTTTACATAGGACAGCCTGTGGGAACGGCTATGAAATCTTACCTCTGACAAGATGGGGTGACTTTCATGAGTGTAACCAATGGGTGGTGTGATCACATAGCTATCTGTACTTCCCAGGACCATTTCTAGTACCGGTTTAAGGCTGAGCCAATCAATCATTGAATTGAAAATCTTCCTTTTTTTTAAAACAAATCATTAATAGCATTTGACTGCACTGAAAAATTGCCCCCCCCCCTCCCAACAGACAGACACCCCCCCTCCCAAAAGCTGCATTCTCCTCGTGTGCAATGAAACACCATCTTCTTTTTTAAAAAAAGGCACACACATAAAGTAAAAAATTAGATTTTAACAGGATTGGCATCAGACATGACACTGCAGAGAGCAGTGCTACACAGATACAATGGTAACAGAGCCAGAAGATGGACTGCAGAAATATCAGAGACACTGAAAAGTACTTTATAAAAAAGCCAATAGAAGGGCCCGTTCAGAGATCTCTTCCTGCCATGAAACCGCGAGGCATTCCACGAGTAGAGAAAAGAAGAAAAACAACGAAAGTGGATGTTTCATTGCAAAGGAGAATAGAGTTTACAAAAAAAGAGACAGCCTCATGTTTTGAAATGGAGATGGAAAGGGAAGCATAACGACAGAAATTCTGTAGCTGAAAAGTAGTACAGCCTGACATGTTGTAATTTTAACTGACTCGCAGAGGATGTTTTGGAAAGTAGAAACTATATGTGGTGTCCTTAAAGTGGCTTGCGTCACTCGATAGGACAGATAAGGAAGCAATTGTGGATTTTTTGCCCAGGATATGTTGGTGTGAGTGGCAATGAACAGGCTGATAGATTAGCTGCCGTTGTCCTTCTGGGCTGTGTGCTGCTTTACGATAAAGCGGACGAGGTGAAGGCTTTTTATGATCAAGTACAAACACCTGAGTACATTCTACAGACCTGCTGACTCTACCTACAACTTTGAAAAGACACCTGGTCTCAAAAGCAAAGTGCAGAGCAAGCTATGGGGAACCATGAAGGACCTGCAGCTGACATCCAAGTTCATAGAGACAAGCCACCTGATGGTCTGATCCGAGCATAGGAAACCGAGGGCAAAAATGACCTTGACTCCCAGGTTGACCCAGTTTTGAGTGGGTACTGGGTACAGTCCTGGGAAGTAAAAGCTACTGACCACATCAATCATCTTGTACCGCTGGTCTATAAAAATATAGGTCTAGCCCTATATGCCTTATAGGCCTAAAGGCATGGAAAAGAGACTTACTTTTTATTTTAGTTGTTCTCTGTGTTTTAGCTCTATTGTAGATTATGCAAGCTGTAGACTCTTATCATTCTGTTTGCCACTGAAGTATACACCTCTTTCTCAGATGTTGATGCGCCTTTCCAGAAACGACAGATGTGTGGTGGGAATGAAGCAGCCATCGAGAAAATGTTGGCCTTTGGGCGCGAATTGAAAATGATGAGCCAGAAGTTGAGAAAGGAGTTTGGCAAAAATGAAGCAAATAAAAAGGCATTGCAGGTAGGTATTTAATTTGTGGCCTACGGTTAGAAAGTTTATATTTTGGGGGTCAATTTTCCAACGAAAAATGACACAGACATTTACATTTTTGCTTTTGTTACATCGTCAGCTTTCAGTAAGTATCCTGTGTAGCAACAGTGACCTGTTATCGATGAAAATGACCTGGTGGCTTGCCAAAAAATACCCTGCTGGCATGCCGTGTGGCTTGCTAAAAATTTCCACCAATAGTGTAGAAGCTACGTGATTTAAACGTTACATTGCTAAAAGCAAATGGATGTTAATTTCTCAGTTATAGAATGAACAAGTTTCTGGTCATTTTTTTCCCCCCATCTTCCTATTTAAGCTTTTAAAAAAAAATCATGTCATTAAAAAAAAAAAAAAAGCAAAGACAGCTACATTGTAGTTGTCCGGACTGTCTGCTCGGACATTTAGTCGATGACCGTCTTCAGCCTGCTCACAACCTGAGCTCATTTCCCTTACCTCAGGCACATTCATTGGATCTCCACTTCTGCCTGGATCAGGACATGCAGTGCTTTGTCTCTCAGAAACAACAGCTGAGCCACATGTACCAGATTTGCTAAACTCCAAGCACCAGCAGAGGCTGCATTAGCTAAACATTGTAATGTAGCAGGTCCTTTGCAGGGACGCCACACTGGTAGCTGCAAACTTTTCGTGGATCTGACATTGAGCCAAGCTTAACATTCTTCTTCTTCGGCATTCCGAGCCCTTGAGGTTCATTGTTGCAGATACCACAAGCCTCCATTCTTCTCTCTGGTTGGTTTTGTTTTTCCAGTTGGTGACACCAAGTGTTTGCAGGTCTGTCTGGACATTATCTCTCCATCATCTTCTTGGTCTGCCTCGTGGTCTATGACTATTCATCTCCCTTGTGTATACAGTTTTTACTTCTCTGTCATCTGACATTCTTCCATTAAGCCCCAACCATTTCAGCTTTACACATATCCTGTGAATCATGGACAGTTAGTAAACAACACAGGAAAGTGTTATTGAATTTCCGGCGGATAGATGTACAGCAGCTTGACAGTTGTTTATGCATTTCAGCAAGATACCCGTCTGGGTTCCGGGGCCCCATTGTAGGAAAAACAAGCATAGACCCACTGCCTATCCAAAAGCATGTCGTAAGAGTCAACTAATTGGGAGCTTCCTTCGAAGTCGGAGTGCATCTGCCTGAGAGGCAAGGAAGAATGATCAAAGTCTCAGTCATCATGAAACTGTTCAGAAATATCTTCACCTTCACTTTTCGATTTAAAACAATCAAGACAATATCCCGTAGAATCAGGAATATTCTGCAATCTTTTTCACCATGCCAGCTCTAAAAGTCAGCTAAGATTTTTGTTTTTAAATATTCCTTTATGCGCAATTGACATACAAGCTTACCATATAAAATTCCTGAAAAATTTACTTTAAGCACTGCCGAACTGTTTTCCTTAAATAACCACAGAGTGTTGAAAGGACTGGCCATTGCAACTGCATTTATCGCAAAACGGTGGCGAGTGTGTTGCAGGGGGTGGGGGAACCATTTAAAACCATTCGTAAACATCGGCGGATCACATAGCTTCTGATCATGGTAGTCGGTGGGTTAAGATCAAGAGACAATGAACTTAGCAACGGAGACCCATTACCTGTGTTATTTTATGCGATTACAATTTGCTTCTCTTATGGACCCTGGTAGCCAGCTTTTTCTTTGTCGTCATCATAGTCATCGTCTTTGTTATCATCTTCTTCTTCGTCCTTATCATAATCATCTCCATCATCATTTTCTTCATCACTTTTGCTTTATCGGGCACAAAATATGGCGGCCGCAAAAACACCCTGACAGAGCCTCAGTCACGTGTCAATTGCGCACTTCTGGCGACTTAATTTGCGGTTTTCCGGCGACTACCGCCACGGCTGAGAGTTCCCCCACGCCACTCATGCGGCGGGGATTTTGGCTAAACTAGATGGCTAAGACTCATGAGCAGCAGCTTCTGCATCTCCTGCAGCTTTTCCAGCCATCTAGTTTGACCCCAATCCATCGCGCGTGTGGGTAGTTGCCCGGAAGTGCGCAATTGACAGGTAACTGAGGCCCTGTTTTTGGTCGCCATCTTTTGTGCCCGTTATTCAGAGGATAGCCACTTTACCTTCGTCATTATCAGCTTCTCTGTCATCATCTTCATCTTTCTCCTCCCCACTTATTTTTTTTCAGCCCTTGAGGTTCATTGCTGCAGATATTACCAGCCTCCATTCATTTCTGAAACCATGTGCCATATGTAATTTATGAAACCATAACAACAATCTTGTATTTTGAGAGTGTGAATGAGTACCAGATTTGATGCGCAAACTAACAGCCTTGTTCATCTGCAGGATGCCTTCAGTTTACTGGCCTACTCTGACCCCTGGAACAGTCCCATCGGCAGTCAGCTGTTACCAGTCAAGCGGGAGCCAGTGTGTGCAGCGTTAAACAGTGCTATATTAGGTAATGTTGTGTGTTCACAATGTCAGAAGTTGGTATTTCGGACATTGGATTACCATCACCGCACATGGGTAGTAACCCATAAGTGTTCTGTTCTTCTTCTAACTCTAGCCTGAGTCCGAAGTAGCTCAGCGTAATGCATGGGATTTGTAGCACCGACGAGGTTCCTGAAATATCTTCAACTCCAAATTTTGGCCCGGGCAACGCTGTTAGGCTACTCCTTTAGATTTCCAACTGCCAAGGGATTTTGTTACGTGCTCAACAATGCACACGGGCATCGGTTCTCACTACCCAGAGACCAGGGGAAATTACTAGAAGTCCACATGAACTGAAAAAATCCCAGCCGTTACCGGGGCTTGTACCCCGGACCTCTAGCACTCGAGGCGGACACCATACATTGAGACCATGCAGCCCCCTAGAAGTTGGTATCAACTGACTACCTCATACGGTAACAAATTTTTGCTGCACAATGAAACCTTGTGTTTTCTGTGACGAATGTTACTAATACCTTGGACGGCCAGAGTAACTAACAACGATTGCTTCAAAGAAGCTAATTAAAGTAGATCTCTATATACAACAATAAGAAAGAGACAAACACTGTTCTTTGGCCACATAATGAGAAGAGAGACATTGGAGAACATTGTGACAACTGGAAAGATCAGTGGAAAAGAGGTAGAGGCAGATCAAAAGAGACTAGGCTAGATGGGCTGAATGGATGGCTTGGAGGGATATCAATAGAGCTGTTTCAGGCTACCAGGGATCGTGATCTGTGGAGACGCATGATCGCCTTTGCCAGTTGGCAGGGCACATGATGAAAATGAATGAAACCTATCATGAACAAGTTTACAGGGGGTTATGCATGAATCAAAGGCCTGTGCTGTGTTGAAAAATTTAAGCCAAAAGAATGAAAGTAAAGGACCCTTTTCCATGCCTTTAGGCGCTTACTGCATATAGGGCTAGACCTTTATTTTATAGACCAATCGGCACAAGATGGTTAATGTGGTCAGCATCACACCGTTTGCCTTTACTTCCGGGGACTGCACCCGGTACCCACTCAAGGCTAGGTCGACCTGGGAGCCAAAGTCATTTTTAAAAGAAAATAAGTCCTGCTCTGGCAGGAAGCGAACCCACGACCGCCAGCTCCGTAGGCGAGTGTCTAGCTGCTCCATCAGAGTGACACCCCAAAGGAATGAAGAAAATGTTTATTTAATTCTCCCAGCATATTCATTGTCTGAGACTAAATTTAGCTACAGTAAAAAAAAAATCAGTCAGGGGTTATACCATACAAGTCATTTACCAAACGAAGAGAATTAATTACATAGAGCAAGAATGTAGACCAAGAACAAGATGGAAAGATAACATCAGAAAAGCTCTACAGCACCTAGGTGTGTCTATGGCCAAAGCGGGACCTTATATCTCCCTCGACACCCAAAGTGGTAAAAGAGGACGTAAAGAAGACGAATTAGGAGCTAGTTCATAGATCAGAACTATTCAACTGGCAGCATGTGGGCCATTTTTGGCCCTTGGAGGTCTGACAAGTGGCCTGTGGATCATTGGCTTGTTGTATTCTTTTAGTGATCTTTCTGTGCTGGGGTTGGACCTCTTCTTCTTCTTTGTTCACCAGCTGTAAGCTCTGTCAGAAAGTCATAGTTGTTCATCCCTTTTGGACCTGAGTTTTGCGTGTACATCCATTTTACTGACTTATTTTTTGTGTGCTGTTAGTTGTTTCTTGCTGCTCAGGCAGATGCACTCTGACTTGAAAGGAAGTCCCCAGTTGGTCGACTCCTACAACCTACTTGCTAGGAAGGCAGTGGGTCCATTCTGCTTTCCCGTACAATGGTGCCCTAGAACCCACACGGTGAGGGCTTGAACCTGTGGTTCATGACGATCCCTGTTTTAAAATTGTTTGGCACCTGAGTAAACTTTGTTGAAGATTACCTAATTACTTTGTTGAATTGGCATAGACCAGCGGTTCTCAGCCTGTGGGTTGTGACCTTTTTTGGGGTCGAACAACCCATTCACAGTTGTCGCCAAAAACCTCCAGGGAAAACTCATATTTATTGAAGTTAAGAAGTAGCAATAAATTGAAGGGTCGCAGCATTAGGAAGGTTCAGATCCACTGGCTTAGATGATCATATGATTCCTTGAAAATGTTTCTGAATGCTGTATAACCTTATGGACATTGCCTCTGCTATTCAGTAGTCTTATCACTTGCCTTGCCTCTCTATTTAAATATCAAAGCTGTTAGACATTTGCCTGCCAGGCCAAATGGAAATGGTTGAAATCTATGCTGAATTGAATTTTTCTTACAATTGACCTTGCACCCAGGTCAGCCTGCTTTAAATGGGTACTAGATAAATGGGAAGTGAAGGCGACCGGCGTGATCTTGGCCTCTTCAACCACTGAGTGCTGAGTCTGTAAGAATGTGATTTTAGCAAGTTATGCCTGATGCATCACCTCCGTAAATAAAACGTACGAAGTGAAAGGTCCTATTTCCACTGGGCATTTTCTAGCACAGATTGCATTCAATAACTGTGTATTTAAGTGTGTGGTTAATTACAGCAGCTTTTTGTACAACAAAATTTTTTGTTTGTAAATTTCTCGGCACTTGGTTTTTCTCCTCCTCTTCCTCTTCTTATTTTCCTTCTCATTCGTCTTTACAGCTTTTGTCTCCCATTAGACAAACTAATGCCAGGCCACAGATTTCCTTACTTCTTCATCACATCATCGTCCCTTAGTTGGGTCACCAGTTAAACTAATTTAACAACATAACCTTTAATCTCTTTCGGTTCATGGAGGTGTAGCGATGGAAGTACTAGTAGTACACAAAGCCTGTCGTCTGTCTCTACCTTCTGGTTGTTGAACAAGTGGATGATAATTTAATCCTGTCCATTTCTAGATTTCGTAATTCTAAGTTCTTGACTCTCTCTCTTCTCCCCCCCCCCCCCCCCCCCCCCCCCCCCCAAACCTTATCGAATGTTCCTTGTTGGTAATTGAATAATTTTTCACTGTGTTCACGAACCAAACTAGCTTGTGACGTTTCACCACAGCCAAAAAAGTCACCTGTTGCTTGTGACTGACTGATCAGCTCTCTCCACCTTTGACGGTCAGATGCGAGGGACTTCATACTTGCATGCCTAAGGCCTGTCCAGTCAGTTAAAGTCTGTATCCAGGTTTTTTCTTGGTCTGCCTCTTCTCCTGTTCCCCTCAACTGAGCCCTGCAGTATTGTTTTTGAGAGGCTGTTAGTTCTTATTTTATGTCCATACCATTACATTTTCCATCTTTTCATTGCAGTTAAAAGAGGCTCATGCTTCTTACTAACATATAATTGTATAAAAATGTATATTCTTGTTTTGTTTCTTGCAGAGTCTAAAGGTTTACCGAAGCAACCACCACTGGAGCTAACTATAGCCCAGGCCAATCAGTGCATGCGCCTTATGTCCAAGTCAGGAATCGGGGCCTGTGCATTTGCCACTGTGTCCGACTATCTGCACTAACACAAGACCTATTCTAGCAATTGGAAGAATGTAGATATCTCAATTGTAGCTCTTTATATTGGACCCGCCGTTCCATCCAGCCATATTCTTTAAGCTTATCTCCAACAGATACTGCCAGTAACCATATAAATAAAAAAAAAAGTTAAAACGTCTGCACAAAATGCAGGTATAGCAGTGTGGGCATTTTTGTTTTTCCTTGTGCCATTTGTGTGTGTTCTCTTCAGCGATGGTCCTTCGATGTGTGACTGCCCGTCATGTCTTCAGATACTGTGTGGTTTCCGTGAAGCATAGACAGTAGTTTGTACAAGGACAGCGGCAGTTCTTTCCCTTAAATTGTGGAGCGTTGTCAGTAAAATGTTTGCCTTGGAATCTGCTAACATTTAGGTTTTTAAATGAAATACATCAGGAGTTTTTTTTTTTTATAGTTTTTTTTTTTGGGGGGGGGGGGGGGGGGGAGGCAAGTTATCAGTTAAAACTTATACACCGGGAACTGCTAGCATTCAAGTTGTGTGCCAAACTTGTACACCGGGAACTGCTTAGCATTTAAGTTTTCAGCAAAACTTTTACTTCATGAACTGCTAGCATTCAAGTTGTTAGCAAAACATCTACACCAGGAACTTCTAGCATTCAAGTTGTCAGCAAAACATCTACACCAGGAACTTCTAGCATTCAAGTTGTCAGCAAAACATCTACACCAGGAACTGCTTATATTCAAGTTGTCATCCAAACCTATACACCGGGAACTGCTTAGCATTCAAGTTGTCAGCAAAACATCTACACCAGGAACTGCTTACATTCAAGTTGTCATCCAAACCTATACACCGGGAACTGCTTGGCATTCAAGTTGTCTAGACTGGGAAATGCTAGTATTCAAGTTGTCAGCAAAATGTCTACACCAGGATAAATAAGAATGTTTGTATTGTGTGACTGCTTCTTCATATAATCTATAATATGTGTGAGAAGGCAATAGTAGTTAGTAAAGTAAATGACCGTTTTACACACTTTCAGGGGTGTTGGGCATATAGGGCTAGACTAATATTTTTTTTAAAAGATCATCACGTTAGTGGCCTTTACCTTCTGGAACTTCACCTGGTACTCATTTAAGGCAGGGTCGACCTGGGATCCAGTCATTTTTTTTTTTTAAAGCCTGGCTCCGCTAGGACTTGAACCCACAAACTTCTGATACGCAGGTGAGCATCTAGCCACTGCATAATGGAGGGAGGGCAAAAATTATCCAGATTCAGTGTAGAGCGACTCTGGGAAGGCTGCTGCCTCAAAGGATTGAGGATAAAGCACTCCTGGGAATGTGCATTGACTTCAGTTGTAATAACAGTGGTACAATATTCACTAATAAGCCTTACCAACCCTTCCTAGTTGCCTGTTATGACATGCTCAGTAGGTTGCAGTTTTGTTATTTGTTTTTTTTTGTTTTGTTTTATCAAAGTCCCCTGTAGCATACGGGAGATCACATATGCTGCCTCATGGAATTATGAGTTGAGGTTTCTAAAATCACATATGCTTTCTAATGGAATTATGAGCTGAGGTTGTTTCTAAAATCACATATGCTGTCTTATGGCATAATGAGTTCAGGTTGTTTCTAAAATCACATTTGCTGTCTTAAGGCATTATGAGTTAAGGTTGTTTCTGAAATCACATAAGCTGTCTCATAGAATTATGAGTTGAGGTTGTTTCTAAAATCAGATAAAAGTAGTCAAGATTTAGACAGCCAACAGAAATGAAATGTCAACGACGAATCCTAAATGTAACTAGAAGAGGCATAGTCAGAAATGATGAAATCAGGAAAAAAGCTGGGTTGGAACTAGTACTAAACTGTGTCAAGAGACCAAACATTCAGTGGTTCAGACATGTGTCATGACTACAACCAGAGAGATCACCACATTTGAGTGCCCAAAACTCAAGACTTAAACGCTACTCTTTCTGAGACCAGATAAGTGGAACACTTATGAAGAAAAAGAACAGCTTGTGAAAACCTGTCACTACATGGCATTGGGCCAAAGGGCGAAAGCTCATGCGCCGCTGGATCGATAAATACAACAACAAACACCACACACGAGAGCCCTATCACTTAAACACAATGGAAGCAGACCTAGAGGTTGATCAAGCGATAGATGAAATGTCTGAGGCTGTAAATAACAGCATCTATGTATAGCACATACAACTCACATCTGATGTTAAAAAACCATAACAGGACTAGAGAAGAAGAAGATTTAGACAAGTAGCAGTAGCCACAAAATGCTTGTTATGTATCTGTCGTCCCATTGGTTCGTCATCTATGGTCAAACTCCATGCCAGGTAAACATTAAAGGAGGCAATTTTTGTGCCATTGTGGCACATTATCAGGAGTATGTTGCCTGGCCAAAATGGCACATCGTGGGCAGTGAGATGCTTGGCCAAATGGCACATTGGGGGCAGTGAGATGCTTGGCCAAATGGCACATTGGGGGCAGTGAGATGCTTGACTAAATGGCACATTGTAGGCAGTGAGATGCTTGGCACATTGGGGACAGTGAGATGGTTGGCACATTGTTGGCAGTGAGATGCTCGGCACATTGTTGGCAGTGAGATGCTCGGCACATTGTTGGCAGTGAGATGCTCGGCACATTGTGGGCAGTGAGATTTTTGGCACATTGGGGGCAGTGAGATGGTTGGCTAAATGGCACATTGTGGGCAGTAAGATGTTTGGCACATTATAGGCAGTGAGATGCTTGGCACATTGTGGGCAGTGAGATGCTTGACTAAATGGCACATTGATTGCAGTGAGATGCTTGACTAAATGGCACATTGATTGCAGTGAGATGCTTGACTAAATGGCACATTGATTGCAGTGAGATGCTTGACTAAATGGCACATTGGGGGCAGTGAGATGCTTGGCCTAATGGCACATTGTGGGCAGTAAGATGCTTGGCACATTGTGGGCAGTGAGATGCTTGACTAAATGGCACATTGATTGCAGTGAGATACTTGACTAAATGGCACATTGGGGGCAGTGAGATGCTTGGCCTAATGGCACATAGTGGCCAATATGGTCAGTCTGACCTTCTGTAACATTGTATTTTTTGTTGTTGTTTAAATCATCCCTTCCTTGATCTAAAAGTTGAGAGAATTGACATCATTGCCCCTGGTTCTGCCTCATATGGCTGGTCCTTTTCCCCCTCACAATGGCTGGCCACCTGCAGACAGTGTTACACACAAAGCATCAACTTCAAAACTCCAGCAACCAACTCCAGAGCTGTCCATCAAAATTGCCCACCTGATCTGAATTTGTGTGATTGATGAAACAAACTGATGACTTTCGGAGCCCAAGCAAATGGCTTAACCACTCAGCCTCATAACCCTCCTAGGGCAGACAGCAGGAAGTTGCTGGTCCTTCACGTTTCATACAGATGACTGTTGAATTTAGAAGCGACGTCACAGGACCAAGGACATTCCCTTAAGACCTCCGTATCCATCTTCAGCAGCAGGCACGGACTGCCAGTTCTGACGGTACCAGTAACGGTTTGATTGTATGTTGAGCATCGGAAAGGTCCCATGGTCACGCTTAGTGCACCACTCTCTTCAGGCTCTTATGATCTATTTGTGATCTGCACTTGTACACTTGCTGCCAAAGAACCCTTACAACATGAATTATCATGTATCAGTTTCCCACAAAATGGTGCTAAACCAGCTAGCCTGTCCGCCTGTTAATTTTCCAATACACAGGCATGACCTATAGAGTGTTGGAGGTTTTTATGCATGTTTTCTTTTTAAACAATTTTTTGTTGGCATGATAGTGTTGAACTGGGGAGTAGATAGACTGGAGCACTGAGGCATACAAGTGTTGAACTGGGGAGTAGATAGACTGGAGCACTGAGGCATGAAAGGGTTAAACTGGGGAGTAGATAGACTGGAGCACTGAGGCATAAAAGTGTTGAACTGGGGAGTAGATAGACTGGAGCACTGAGGCATGATAGTGTTGAACTGGGGAGTAGATAGACTGGAGCACTGAGGCATGAAAGTGTTGAACTGGGGAGTAGATAGACTGGAGCACTGAGGCATGATAGTGTTGAACTGGGGAGTAGATAGACTGGAGCACTGAGGCATAAAAGTGTTGAACTGGGGAGTAGATAGGCTGGAGCACTGAGGCATGAAAGTGTTGAACTGGGGAGTAGATAGACTGGAGCACTGAGGCATGAAAGTGTTGAACTGGGGAGTAGATAGACTGGAGCACTGAGGCATGAAAGTGTTGAACTGGGGAGTAGATAGACTGGAGCACTGAGGCATGAAAGTGTTGAAACTGGGAGTAGATAGACTGGAGCACTGAGGCATGAAAGTGTTGAACTGGGGAGTAGATAGACTGGAGCACTGAGGCATGAAAGTGTTGAACTGGGGAGTAGATAGACTGGAGTACTGAGGCATAAAAGTGTTGAACTGGGGAGTAGATAGACTGGAGCACTGAGGCATGAAAGTGTTGAACTGGGGAGTAGATAGACTGGAGCACTAAGGCATAAAAGTGTTGAACTGGGGAGTAGATAGACTGGGGTACTGAGGCATGATAGGGTTAAACTGGGGAGTAGATAGACTGGAGCATTGAGGCATGAAAGGGACATGCACAGAGAAACATTCCATGTCTTTTGTTTTTGTTGTGTTAAACTTCGTTTTTGTGCATGCATACTAATCTAGCTCTAAGATTGTGCCGTTTTTAGTGGTTTTTAAGTTTTTCTAGAGACAGTGTTTAACAAAAGAATGTTTTCTGTATGTGTGTTGTTACCATAATCATAATATCTGCCTCTTATTTCAAATGTTTTTTTTGTTTTTAAATGGAGAATGTTGTTTATTCTTCAGTTTGATACGAACTCCAGGGTTGACATTTGTAGTATACTGTTGTTAGCAGATTTGCAAACTTTTCTCTTGTTTAATAATGTCAGAATTGTGATGCTATTATCCTCTCCTGTTCTGCCTTTTGTTTCCTAAAAGAGCCCTCAGCTAACTTGTGCCAAGCCC